TGTAAACACACAAAAAAAAACACACACATTGTAAAATCAATACATTCATCACTCCGTTCAGAATCTAAAAAGCAAATTGAAAAAAAAGCGAAAACCAATTATTATTATTATAGGTATAAATTATTACAAATAGTTTGTTAAAAAAAAATCAAATCAAATAATTCATTAATTAAATATTTTATGTATATTATAATATTATAATAAGTTATAAGTGTAGGTATTACATGTTACTATTAAAATCGAAAAATAATTATTACAAATATATTATGTATAAAATAGTTTGTTWAAAAAATTWAATCAAATGTATTTATTTAAAACGTATGTGATAAGCTACAGCATTTAAGAATTGTTCGGTATAATTATTATCATCATTATTATTATTGTATCTTGTACACAGTAAAAATAACTTTTCTTGCATATTTTCATATATAATTTAAATTAAAAATAATTAATAAAAATGTTTTATCAAAGTTACATAATATAATATACATATTATTAATATTTAGAAATATTAAAAAAACGGTATAAGTAGCAATCAATTAAATTTTATTCGACTATTATAACGATTTAATTAATTAATTATCTGATTCCGTAAATAATAATATAATATTTTCAACTTACCTTCGATTATACAATCATCTAAATGTCTGGGTTCTTTTAAATTATTTTTTGACCGTTGATTTCTAAGAGTTCTTTTGGTAATTGTTTCTGGTGGCATCCTATCTCGAGTTTCTTTATCCTASCTTCCAAGTTCTTCACAGTAAATCTCAATTGGATTTGTTGACGCAGTTGCTGCCTTATGTTTCATTCGCGCTAAGCATTTATTGACTTCAACTTCATGCGTGTCTGGAGGATGAGTATGTGCTTTATCGATTATTGGTATTTCAGTAGGATTTTCTTTYGATATTTTTAATTTGCCTGGAAATTTGAGACTTGATGCCTTAAAGCACCTCCAAACATCAGATATTAACGTACTGTAATGTTTCGTATACATGTGGCCATTAAAACAAACTTTTTCCGCATTTTTGTTAGATTTTATTATTTGATGCGACATTTCAATTAGTAAAAAAATAATAAAAATAATAATATTAATTTAAATCGAAGCAGAAAAAACGTCGAATTGTTATATATATAAAAATAATGAACGCAGCCGAGCTGTGTTATTTCGTAGCTTTGGACATACTGAAGTCGGAGATATTATATTTGGATAATTTTAAATTTTTATAATCTATAATCGGTGTGTGATTTGGAAACACGTTGCTGTCGTAAGCCATTATCCGAGCTGCAGCGATAACAAAAATATTGACGAGTTATTTCCAACGATTTTTAAATTGGCAGCCGATAAAACGGGTAGTAGGATCCGACACTTATGTAAATATAATATGACAATAATTATCATCAATATCATCATTTTCATAATATGCTATAGTAGTAATTTTTGTTACGATGTAAAATGTATACCTATAATAATAATCTTCTGATTTGATACAAATTGCTTACAAATTGTAAGTCCACAATTAGGTCCTTGAAGTTGCCTCCATGAGGTCATGTCCATTTATGTCATCACCTAAATTTAATTGGCGCACCCAAATAATTTTGTATCTGAGTCTGCCATAATCAATAAATCTACAACTTTTATAAGCAACGTTTTGTTTTCCGGAAATTTCTATTTGTGCGGTCAACAAATTTCTTTCATTAGCTCTCAAAGCTGTTAGTTATTAGACATTAGACACATCACATACCTCGTTAACATTCCTGATTTTTCTCAGCACGTTGGAGTAGCAACTATCTTCCAATTGAACCAATATGACAGGTAATAGATCTGATTTCTCGCGTATTGGTTAACTCAGCACAGTTCTATCTTTTTTTTTTTTTG